GGGTTGGCTGGAGACAGGGCAGGGGGTGAGGCAGGGGCTGGCTGCGGGCAGCGGCAGGGCAGGGTGTGCGGGGCTGGCTGCGGGCAGGACGGGGGTGCAAGGCTGGTGTGGGCAGGGCAGGGCGTGCGGGGCTGGCTGGAGACAGGGGCTGGCTGCAGGCAGGGCAGGGGGTGTGGGGCTGGCTGGAGACAGGGGCTGGTGCGGGCAGGGCAGGGGAGTGCGGGGCTGGTGCAGGCAGAGGGTGCGGGTACAGCCCACCATGTACCGTAAGTGCCGCCTCCTCCTCCCTCCCCCACCAGGTTAGCAGCAGCAGTCCGGGGCTCGGGGGCTATCTAAAGGGCCCGGGGCTCCCCTGCTTCCACCGCCCTGGCCCTTTAAATAGCCGCGGGAGTCCTGGGGAAGCGGCGGGGCTCCAGCGGCTATTTAAAGGGCTGGGGCGGTAGAAGCAACGGGAGCCCTGGACTTTTTAAATAGCCCCCAGAGCCCCGCAGCCCTACCCCAGGGCTCCAGCAGTGGGGCTCTGGTGGCAATTTAAAGGGCCTAGGACTCCATCCCCTGCTGGGAGCCCCAGGCCCTTTAAATTGCCCCCTGGGGAAACCGGGCCACCCGGGTACAGCACATCGGCTCTTGCCGGTACGCCGTACTGGGGCTTGGGCACGAGGCCCTCTTAGGGGTGGGGCCCGATTCAGGGGAATTGGTTGAATTGGCCTAAAGCTGGCCCTGAATCAGCCCATACAAAAATAAACCCAGCCTCAGCAACAACGAGCTAACAACTTTTCCTCCTCTACCTGCCAGGTCTAATTACACAAATTCATTTGTTTTTCAGGAAGCTCAAACACAGATGCTCAGCGGCCCAGAAATTCTACTTTGCATCGTCTGACCAGGCACCTTTTACTGAATTACAGCAAGGGAGTGAGACCTGTCAGAAACTGGTCAAAGGCCACTACCGTTTACCTTGACCTCTTTGTCCATGCAGTGCTGGATGTGGTAAACACAATCTCAAGCTGATTTACAACCCGTGTCCCGCTGGTCATAATACAGTAGAATCTGCTAGTTGGAGATTGGAGTGGAATGGATGCCAGTGGCTGTGCATGGTGCTTTTCAGCAGAAGGAGCGGTCTGTTTATCGACAAACCACTTTGCTCCTGCTCCCTTTAAATAAGACTTTCTGGAATTTCAAAAGGCTAGAAAGAAGTTTTTAAAGGGACCCATTCGATTTAATTCAGGCTGAGAATAAGTATAAATAATCCTTGACAACTCAGTTCAGTGAAGAAATATTTTTTAACAATAGGTTGTTTTGCAAAAGGTTGGACAGACAGATACAAATACAGACAGACATTTGTAAATCCTCTATTTTGATCAGTTTCAATGCAAACAGCTTTGAGGGACTGAGGCCTAGATTTACCAAACAGCCTAAAGGAGTCCAGTATCCAAGTTGAATGGGATTTGGGTGTTAACTCCCTTAAGCTACATTGAAAATCCCAGTTTTAAAGCTTCCCTTGCAGTTGTGGAAACCCACATTCAAATAGCTTTGTGCTAAGTTAAGAGAACCAGAAAGGGACATTCTAACCAAGAGCTCAGAGCAGACGGGCTACCATGTAATAAACATTGGCTTAAGGGCTTTGGTGCTTTTGGAGAAAATTTGGTGTGTTGGGGTATCAGAAAATGATGGGGGAGAGTTCAGAAACTTAAGACCCAAGTTACAGTGAATTTGGAAAGAGCGGAAAAGAATGGATAGAATGAGCCCCAACGTGCTGCGTGCGTTACATATAAGTGCACAGTGCCAGTGAGAGAGCAACAGATGCTCTATGCCTTTTCCCTTAAGAAACCTCCGCTGCCAGACCAGATCAGAGAATCCCAACGCTTGTCTATTACTGGGATAGGATGTGAAAGTCACTGAATCACTTGCTTCCATTGGTATCTCAGGGTCTACTGATCTTATGTGTAGATATTCCCTGGGTACTATTAATACCATTGCAGGGATCAAACTCAATATTCACAGCATATAACCCCCTGGTATTTCAGAAGCAGAGCACAGAGGAAATAATTGCACCACGTTCCCTGTTATTGAAGGTGTATGGGCTGGTTCATTGGGAATGGAGTTGTACACACGTGACAATTTCCTGCAATATCCCCGGAAGAAACTTGACTATAAGCAAAGTAAAATTGAGCAACCCAATGACACCGTCCAACTGGAATGAAATACAAGTAGTAAAAGAAACCACAAAAATAGCCAGTGTGATTTAAATTAGACGTATAGAATTCTTCCCTTTTTAACAAGCTAAAAATGTTCTTAAGAGCACCGATCGGGGGAAATATTAAAATATGAATTTTAATTTTGGCAGTGCCTGTTTAAGCACAGTCAGAAGCGCTGTGCAATCAAACTGCCTCCTCAGACTACCTGAGCCACTTTGATATTCTGGAAGCTGCTGAAATGTATTTGAGGAGCAGGCAAGTGTATTAACATAGGCAGAGTGTGGGCACAGTATTAATTATATGAAATATGCTACATGAATTAACAAATAACTACAAGCACTGTAATTACCTCTTACATTGCAGCTGTTTAATTCCTTGCTGGTGCTCCGAGATTGCATTTCAGAGTACGTACAGATCCAAAGTTTGGGTGTAGATCAAGGGAGTGAGGCACATATTTTCTAGAGGTGTCTAGCCCATCAGAATCTAATTCCTCCTGCCTTGGACCTTCCATCATCCTTGTATAAGGAGAAAATGCGAGAGAGCAGAGTTGGAAAATGCCTTTTTTGTTACAGTAACTAAAAGAGGCTCTAACGGCAGCTCTAGCAGGGTTTTGCTTTTATCCCTCTTAACTGTAATGAGTCCCTCGTTATCTTTTGTACACAGTAGGAAGTGGTGAATTATATAGTATGCAGGCAAAGCTTTCACTTTCTGAATTCATCATCTTCACTCCATTAGATGCCAGCTAGCGGGGTTTGGGTGAAGTGATTACACCAGACCAGGAGGAGAGCAGTAGTATTTAAGTCAGGGTCTTCTCTACTTTCTTGGCTATAACGAATGCATGTTCAAAATATCCGTATTCATGCTATCAGATAAATCTAATCAGAGACTTGGCTCCAGAGCCAATGTCATCAAGAAGCTGTAGGCTTTAAAGGGCTTGATGCAGTAGAGACTTCAGCAGGTGCATGTAGTAATAGACGAACTGTTCAGCAACCATTGTTTCGTGTGAAGAGCTCTCACCCCATCTTCATCACTGCCTCTGACTTCTATTGTGATCTTTTGCCTCCTGTTTCATGTACATAAAAGACTAGTCTTGTCTGAGAATATCAAGTTATTATGAGTACCTTGGGGAAATCTGATTAGGGAGATAATCTAGTCAACGGAGAAGAGTTCCAATTTGTTTATATTGAGTTTCGTCAATTCCGAATCCCAGATACCTTTGTATTCCACTCCATTGACTAGAGCCTCCCAGACAGACGCTCAGGCATCTGTTTCTATAGTCTGCCGAACTGGAGACGATAAATAAGAATGTGTGGGAATTATCTGTATATTTGCTAACCACCAATTTAAGTCTAAGTAGTCTCCCTCTGTTAGGAAGACTAATGAATTCCAATTCTCCAAAATATCCTTTGCTTTTAACAAGCAAGATGGAAGGTAGCTGAAAAAGAAAGAGGGAAGAGCTGTGAATAATACCACGAGAGAACCAATTATGCCAGCCAGCTGGCATTGAGAAACTTCTTGTTTCACTTGACAAAAAGATTCAAGTTTTAGCCTTAGATGTTTTTTTTCCTCCTCGCTCACCCCGGGCCCCTCTAACGCTGGGATCTCTGTCAGGGCCAAATGGAGAATCTAGCAGTAAGTGTAGGATAGCCATCAACAAACAGCTTTTTATGGTAAGAACAAAAGGAATAGACAATGGTGGTGGCGTCATCGTGGCATACGGTGAAGGCATGCTCAAGAATTATAAGCATTAGTGGGGGTGATGGAAGGAGTGGACCCACAAAAGGATGGGGTTGTCCAGTTGCTCCCCATTTTGTGGGCCTGTGATCCTGCAGTTGATCATTTTGATTTAAGATGTAATCAAAAAGGATTAATGAGGGTTGAAGGTGCTTTAAATGTTGCTCTCTGCAACAAAATCAATTTCTTAAAGTCAAGTCAACGGTGGGAGCAAATCTCTCGTGCTGACGAACCATTAGCTGAGTCCCTCTCTTGTCCAAATCTGAAACTGGCCTGACATCCATCCTGCAAAAGACTATTACTGTGGGTCATAATAGGCAACTTGATCAGGTGAGCCAAACGGCAGCCTGCTCCCCCTAGGCTAAGGTCATCTAACCTGGAATTCACCTTTTACAGATCACACGTGTTCATAGGATCATAGATGTTCACTGTGTGGGGAAAAAACCTGTTAGATCACTGAATTCATCCTTCCGGCAGGCAGATTATAGTCCCTCAGGAGAGGACATAGTGGATATTCAGCCATTACAAAGGAACTTAGCCAAATGGCCCAACAAAAGTTATAAATTATTTTTTTCTTTTTCATGCATGAACCAAGTCCTGTCTCGGATGCTGATGCAGGCCTCCCCCTAGAGGACATCATAGAAACAGGTCATCTGTATTTTGTGCAAAGGTGTCTGAATAGGGCTGACTCATTTCTTCTCGATGCAACCTTTTGTGTGATGATCCAAGGATTCTGGAAAGTATGTTGCAGTTTCTTTTTCATCTCCAATGATTTCCTAAACTACTGTTTCCAGGGAAATGAGCTTAATCCACTTTCAAAATGGCATAGATATACAAATTCCAAGCTCCGAGTCCGCAGCAAACCCAAAGCATTCCTGCTATTCTCTCTCATTCCATCAAGATGGGAGTCACACTTCATTAACAACTAGTGTCTTTCTTCCATCTCTTTTGGGAGAAATTTGATCTCCTGTATTCCAAAGGAGCCTTCTTTCTTCAACTTGTGCTTTTGCTCCATCCCAAGATACTAGTAATTTGAGAAAACCTTTTGCCTCAAGAATTAATACGGCCTTGATCCTACAAACAATTATGTACGTGCCCAACTTGAAGCGTGCAAGTAATGAAGAGGAAAAATAAAATATGCTGAATCATTACAAAGGGAGGGAATTTCTATATGTCATAAAAATACACCTAGCTTGAGGTCACACTTCTGTTTTATGAGCAGGAAAATCCACACACACAAAGATTTAACACAAGTGGCTGCCTGTAGCAGCCGAGACAACTCCCTTTGAGAAATTATGAATGTCCTGATTACAAATACAAGCTCAGCCTCATATTTTTAGCCCTGGATTTGCTGAGAATATGGTATTATGCTTAGCAGCCTGATTAATGTCACCGTAGCTAATTAGGGTGCAAGAGAGAGACTGATGATTCATTTAGAGAGTCAAGTGCAGCCAAAGTACTATTTTATCAAAGATAATTTACTGTAGTGAGGATTGCACAGACACAGATGAACAACAAATGGGAGCCGCAGGCTGGCATGAAGTGAGGTGATGGCCAAACAAACCTCAGAATCCTTCTCTATGGCCTGGTTTTACCAGAGAGAAATGTAAAGGGATGCAATCAAATTGAAATCTAGTCAGTTTAAAAAAAACAATGAGTTGAAAGTCTTCCATGAGCTCCCCCTGGCAGGCCTGGTGATTTTACAATCTCAGTTTCTGTTGTTTCTTTAGCTCTTCACGCAACAAAAATAATATGAAGGCATCACAGGAGCACAACTGAGTCCAAAAGAAAGATGGTTACTAAATATACACAAACTTGTATACACAGGGCTGGTTTTGATGGCTTCTAAAACACAGAACACACTGAGCACTACTGGAGGGCTCACAAGCTATTTAAAGGGATATTATCCTATTCCCACACACCTTATTTTCCTATTTCATAAATGTTCTTCTATCCCATTTTACTGCATGAAAGCCTCATGCAAAGCACTGGAGAAGCTCACTAACTCAGGTCCCATTCTTGCGAACAGCTGTTACTAGGCACGTCGCTTAGAACAGTGAGTAACCCTGTAAAAGCCAATGGGACTATCCCTGTCGCAGATATTACAGCTGGGAGCAGGTGATTGCAGGATCTACCTGATTACAGACAGGAAATTTTTGAAATTGATGATATACAAAGAGTGGGAGAGATTTTCAAAAGCACCTAATGGATTATGGCACAAAACCCCAAAGACTCTTAATGGGAAAAATGTACAAAACATCACACTAAAGAAATAATGAATAATACTTACTTAATTTCTTTCATCTAGAGCAACCTTAGATGTTATGTGTAACACCAATGGGTACAGCAGAGCCTACTCGTTCTGAGAGCGGTGTGATTTTTAAGTTGTTATGTCTCTTTACAATCCATTGAGTCAGTTATGTAATTTGTTAAACATTTGATTTTATTTCCCCCCCTACAGAATACACAGAATCAAAAGCTAACAACAAGCATTTGGTTTCGGCAGGTAAATGATATTTTCTTCCCTAACTACATGTGATTCTGAAGCAGAGAGAGAACTTAATTGCTCTGTAGTATTTATTATACATTACTTTAGGTTGTTTGCTTTCTGACTCAGTTAATATTGTAATGATCAGTGCAGAGTACACCTCCACCAATAGATAGTGCTGTATCTTAGTGCTAAATGTCATCTTGTTATTGTACCCATCTGGGTGGGTTTAGGGAAAGAAGTTTGGAGTCTTGCCTGTGTGTGTTGGAGTTGATACTTTTAGTGTCCCAGTAACAACTTTGATTTCTAAAAAAGCTGAAAAAAAATCATTAATAATGAATAATGCGATAGGTTTAGCCTCTTCCCTTTGTGGAATATCTGACTGCAATCTTCTCAAAATGTATTCCTTTGATATTATTTGACAACATCTTGGGGGATATCTTCCAGGGGCCAGGGTACATTCACCTGCAGTGGGGTCTATCTCCCACACCAATTCCCTTCTTTCCTTCCTATGTGGAATTGGGGGGAAAAAAATCAGTCAGGTGTTTTAAACGGGTTCTCCACCATCCTCAAAAGCGTCAGATAGGGTAGATGAACCAAGCATACATATGTAGTGCTGCTCAAAACATTTCAAAATGTCAATTAGCATTTTTTTAATTTCAAATTTTGAATCCCCCTCCCCAAATGGGGGGGGGGAATGTCCTTTTCACATTTCAACCCACTCTGGACACAGGCAAGTCTCAGAGACTGCAGACTCTGAGAAATGCATTTTCTGAGCCAGCCTGAGATGGGGATGGTGGAGCTGAAGAGGGGTGCCTGCATCAGCACCGATTGTACAGACTCCTGGTGACAGGTAAAGCAACCGTGTTCTGATGAGAATATCCACTTTACACACCTGTAAAAGTCTATCCTGTAGGAAGCAGAGTGGGACTCACTGCTACCTGAGCCGCTCTTGATCCCGCACAGGGGATCAAACGATTATCACATTCCCAATGCAGGGGTATTTTCTGTACCTACCATCCCCTAAATCGTGAAGTCAGTGGTTTGAATTCACTGTGGCACCTCGGTTAACCGGCCTTGCCGAGTCACAATATGGGAAACCACCCGGGCAGTCACACACTCCATTCTCCCTCCCACAGATGTGGAAGGATGAGTTTCTCACCTGGAATTCCAGCCTCTATGATGGGATCAGGGAGATTTCCCTGCCACTCAGCACCCTCTGGTCTCCGGATATCGTCATCAACGAATTGTGAGTTTGGATCGGGTCAGAGTTTTACTGCACGCAGTAGGTTGGGGTGGGTTCAGGGCTTCTTTCTGGCTGATCAGTACAAGCTCTGCCTCTGCCCACAGCAAGAACAAAAGGCTCCATCAGGGTGGGGGTGGGGGGAGAGAGGAAAAATATCTTGTTTCTAACGGCTCTGGACGAGCTGTTTGAAGGCTTTGCAGGGGATGGATTAACAGTCTGAGTCGCAGGTGTGAGACACTTCCCTTCTGTGGAGCAAGAGATTCCAAACACAGCGGGGTCAGCTTGGCGCTTCATCCTTCTGAGCCTCGTAAATTGAGTGCCACAGGCATTCTCTGTCTGATACGTAACCTGGTCCCCACAACTGTAGTGCCTGGGCACCTCACCACCTTAATGGCTTCATCCCCGCAGAACCTGTGGGAGCAAGGCAGGGTGCTGCTTCTAAGTCCATTCTACAGATGGAGAACTGAGGGGCAGAGAAACTTCTGGAGGTCACACAGGGTGAGCAGGGAATTGAACCTAAGGTCTACTAAGTCCCAGGCTAATGCCCTGGCCACTGGACCACCCTTACACCTATAGTGTCGCATGAGAGCTTGGAATCCTGAGCGTGGACATTAAAAAAACCTCACTGCCGGTATCCTGTGCAATGAACTAGTCGGGTCTCTTTCCCCCACCCTCCCTGTGCAACAAACCCTCCTGTTCTGTACAGCGTGGATGTCAGCAGGTCCCCCGATCTCCCCTACGTTTACGTGAATGCTGCTGGGATGATCAAGAACTACAAGCCCATGCAGGTGGTGTCCGCGTGCAGTTTGGAGGCCTACGCCTTTCCCTTCGACACCCAGAACTGCAGCCTGACCTTCAGCAGCATCCTGCACACAGGTGAGCCCGACAGGACTCGGCCCAGACTTGGGATGGTGAAGAGGAACATGACTAGCATGTGTTGCAGGACCTAGGTCAGCGCTGCCCAGGGTAGGTGCCCCACTGAGTGCTCCCTTTGGAACGCAGTGCCGGTCTGGTGCCAGCATCAATGCCAGGCATTTCGTAAGTCAGCAGGAGAGCTCTATAGCAGCAAGGTAGCCAGTTCCATCTCACACTGGGGGTTGTAAGTCTGACTTTGCCTTTACACTGGCTCCCCTGTGGCCACTGGCAGCTCGTGGAAGAAACGGGGTGAGACCATCCCTTCCCCTGAGTCCCAGCCCTTTGTTTGTGTCATTCTCAGTGGAGGATGTGGACCTCACCTTCTGGAGAAGCCGTGAGGACATTAAGAATGACAAGACGCTGTTTCTGGATGACGGTGAGTGGGAGCTGCTCTCCGTGCCCTCACATCCCCGGGTCCTGCACATGGAGACCGGACGCTTTGCCCAGATTCAGTTTAACGTAGGTATCAGCTATTTCTCCTTTGCCTCTAATGCGCGGACATCTTTCCATTTGGCACCTTCCACTTTCCCTCCTTTTCTTCTCTTCCGCTCAGCTATTTGTGCTGGGCTTCAGAGTCATTGAATCCATCACGAGCACACGGGCTGTGCTGCGCTTCACTTTCTCTCTAACACGCGACATGCTGCAATTCCTGGCTATCGATGGGTTGTGATCCACTGGGAAGTGGGCGGCTGCAACGTGGAGGACAAGCCAAGATGAGGGTGGTAGCGAGGGAGAAAGCGGGTCATTCTGTAAAATGCCCCAGTATCAGCACTGAGGATGAGGTAGACAAGAGAGACACAACCGGCTGGATGCTGGTTGGATACCACATGATCCAACGCAAGAGGCAAGGCTCTCTCTCTATGGGCTCCTGGAGATCAACCTCCAAAGCGAGACAGCATTAGCATTCACCAGGCTCCCCATCGGTCGGGCAGGGTGGGGAGAACTCCAAGACAGAAAAGTAACAGATGCAGCCTGAAAAGAGGAGCTCAGACTGGTCCTCGACCACGCCAGCGAAGAGAAAGTGAAATGTAGACCAATGCCGAGGTACGGTAGCTCTGAGCTCACACCTGATCCCGGTGCAGCGATGGCTACCATACAGTGACCTACTGCCAGGATCCCCAGCCAAGGGGGCGTAGGTCTGAGTGGAATCGAGAACGTAGTCCAAGTTCACATGCTTTTGAACGGACTGCAAAATCTTTTTATTTACTTATCATCGTTATTGCGGGGTGAAACATGTTTCTCTCAATTCCGGACCTTGACTATACCGTGACCAACAAATTTGGACCTTGACAAAGAATAATTGACTACCCCGGTCTAGATGGTCAAGGCTAGAAGCAGCACTCTGTATCACGTCACGCCACAGGGTCTGATCAGAGTCGAGATCAATGAACCATACTGGGCCAGGGCCAACAGGCCAGCCAAAGTAGGGTTGGCAGAGTGCAAAGTTAGGAGCAGAACACAGGGGACCAGGACCCAGGACCAGGAGCGGCGCCAGGGGCAGGGCTGGAGTCAGGAACTAGGTGCAAGGCATGGTATCAGGACTGCACAGACAGACTCCAGGTGATTCCCCTGTCCCTTAAATAGCATGCCCGAGCCAGTCAGGGCACTCCGTAGACTCCTCCAGCCAGGATCTCCGTGGGTGGGACAGCCGGGGTGCTGCTTGAACCTGTAGAGTGCATAGGCTGCTGTTCCCTGCTTTGCCAGAGCTGTTGAGTGGCCATGTGGACACAGCAGCCACCCAGGAGCCAGCAGACCCTGCTTCAGGCCTGCGGATCCTCACACCTATACACACGGACTTAGGGCTCCAGATGCTAAGGTGGTAACCGTGTAGTACACGGATAGAGCGGACACTGCAAGCACTGAACAGGGCTGCTGCAGGTGCTCTGCCCCAGTCATCCCTCTGTCACACCAGCATGGACACTTGCATCGCTCATGAAATCGACTGACAGCGTACCTACGTTCCAAGCAGCAGCACTGAGGAGACAGCCTGTGGCTTGCGTCTCCTTGCTGGCAAAGGCTGGGGTGTGGAGGGGAAGCAGCTAATTCGTCCACACCGCTTGCTGAAGGACGAAAATGTGTTTTTGTTTTGATGAGCTTCTTGACTAAGAGTTAAACACCTCATTAATTTTAAAGATAGCCGCCTGCGAACATTATTAATGCCAGAGCGAATAATGAAGAGCAGTTAAAGGGAAAAACACTAAGAGAAGCACCTGCAGCGTGGGCTGCGGATCTGGCACTCAGACACCCATTCGGTGGAAGCAGCAAACTCAACACTCAGGGCTTCGAGAACCCCGAGGCCTCTCAGAAACTTATCAGACCCCCTGGGCCCCAGGCAGCAGGCTGGACAGCTCCCCAACTGCTGCCCAGGCCTCCCCAGTTTCCCAGCAGGTCCCCCTTGCTAAGCACCACAAGGTCAGCCTCTCTCCCTGCCTTTCATACACCAAGGGGAACACAGAGGCAAAGCAGAAACCTGGCGGTTAATCAGACCTCGCACAAGGATCCTACTAACAGTGACTGAGTTTAGGGCCAAGGTTTGGGCTGGAGGATATTCTAGCTGACTTCAGTGAAGTCACTTGCAATTTACCCAAGTGTCTCCGAGAGGAGAATCAGGCCCAGCATGGCTGACCTTAATGCAGGCACAGAACCCCCTTACCCAACTGTTCAGTGCTGTTCTCCAGTCAGGGGACGCCCCAGACTGGCCTACTAACTAGGAAAGGGCCAGTTTTTCTTGTAAAAATTTTTATTTTTGACAGAAAGTGGCTTTTTCAAACTTTTAGTTGATATTTTCCATGTTTTCTTTTAAAATTTTCCAGGTTTTCATAAAAACCAAACCATTTTCAGGAACAAGATTTCAGTTTTTTAATTCAAATCCCAAAGCCTTTTAGTTTCTGGTTCTAAGTTTTTGTCGAAAAACTGAAAATGTTCCAGAGGGAATTTAACATTTTTTATATATTTACATTCCTGCAAAAAATCATTAGCATCTTCCCTCCAATGCCCCTAGTACCATATCTGCAAGCTGGCACAGTGGGGGAGCAGGCAGCATTACCTTGAGCAGCAGTGGCAGCGGTAGCCTCTCCAGTGGCTCAGACTCTCTTACTGGTGCTGAGACCCTGGGGTGTGGTTTGCCCCATGGAAATCCAGCGCCTGTCCTGGCGGGGTGAATGTTACATTGCGTTAGTACTGAGCCATCTGTCCTTAAGTTACCCAGTTACTTGCATATCCCCTCTATGTAAGCAGTCCCCACCCCAGCAGCCTTCTTTCCTGCCCCTGTACCTACAGTACAGACTCACTGCTGCCTTGTTCAGTCCCAGCAAACCCGTCCCCTTGGCACTTGCCCCAGAGCCATGCCAGGCACGTCGCAAGGCTCAGGCAATGTTTGGAAGCCGGGGCTGCTTTCAGCAGTGAGCAGGGGGACCCCACGTGAAGACAATTGCCATGACAAGGAGGTCAGTTCTGAGCCTGGGACCCATTCCAGCAGCCACAGCAGGACACATTCCTCTGAGCCTGGGCTGGAGCAGAAACAGACACCGGGGTCCCGGACAGCAGGAAAAGAAGTGGACTACAGTGACACAGAGATTCAGGGGTATGCCCTAGGAACCTGGGGGTTGAGGGGCAGCACTGAACTGACAGGTAGGGGCACCCTGGGTATTGCCCTCCCATTCCCCCAAGAGCAGGCGAAGGGAGTTGTGCCCAGCGTCACTCACACAGGAGTCCACTGGGCATTGACCCTGGGCACTGAGCAGGTCTCATCTGAAAACAGCACAAATCAGCCCTGCGCTACCTGACCAGCTTTCCAGCCAGAGTCACCTTTGACTCCTTACTGCCCTGGTAGCCCAGGTGAGAGGAGACCATTGCAACCTTCCCATCTGCGAGAGAAATCACAGAGGTGGGGGGAGAGAATGTAGCAAACTTAGCGGCAAACCTGTGTCTGGGTGTCAAACGCTGTCTGTGCCATAAAGACAGTCATGCAAAATTAAGTGCTGGTGGGGTCTGCTATCAAGGAGACAATTCATGCCTAACCTTGGGTAATATTCCATCTCCAATGTGCGGCTGCTGTACATGCTCGGAATGAGATTGATCTCCTTCATTAACATCAATGGGCTGCAAATACCTTTGTGTACTTATTATTACCTGGCTTTAATGGATAATGAAATTGTGGCATAATATTGCTAACACCTGAAGGGTGTCTAATGGAGAACACGACTGAAACTAAAGTGCTTTCCTCCCTTTGCTGGAGAATTTAAAGGCATCCACTTCTTAGCCTATTAGAGAGGATGGGATTTGGCTGGTTTAAGATCTGCAGAGAGCGACTCCCAGCTGAGGCCAGCTCAGTGTGGGTCCTACCCGCCTAGCCAGGAGGAGGTAACCCCAGTTGACTCCTGGTGGCTCAGTGAGAAGAACTGGGGTCTATGCAGAACCTGGCTCCTGCTCTGAGCCTTGGCTCAGGTAGCACACAGGATGCAGCCACAGCACGTCCCACATCTGGCTGGGGGCTCCACTGACTAACTAAGTCTGCCCTGGTATCTGGCTACCAGACCCAGGGCAGTGAACTTGGTAGAAATCTGTTGTATTGTGCTGTGGGTGAACCTGGATGCAGGACCCCAGCCAATTACAGATGCTTCTCTCATGGAACTCATGCAAGGCTCCCCCTTCTCCTTCACCCCGCCGGAAAGGGTGAGATCCAGACTGTGACCTCCACATGGCAACATGACACACTGGGCCAATGCTTTGCTTTTCAAGAGCACCACGGTGAGGAGCATGGTACCAATGGCCAGAGAGAGACATCCAAGATGCAATGAGATCAGTACTGCTCAATAAACTCAGACTCTCAGAAGCAGAGAGGGGGAACGGGCTACCTAGGCTACATTTCTTCCCTCATGATTTTCATTCTGACACTCTGAGTGGAACCAATTCTCACTAAAAACTGTTCTCTGCCTTGCAACAGTTTTTTAGTGGGAATCGTTTTCTCATCACGTGCTTTGACACCCAAGGGTTTTGATTTAAAAGTTTCGGGCTCCTTCCGATCCATTTTGGCGATGGTAAGAATCAAACCAAACCCAACAAGTTGGGTTAAACTCTGCAATGCAGATAGATTTGGAAAAGTTCACTGGACCCAGAACTTATCACTCCATCACCTAGAAATCTCATGAAGGACCCAGTTACAAACCCATGAACCGGAGTCTCAAAAATGTCATGCCCAGTGAGAGAGCGCAAAATGTTTGGCTTCAAGTTTTCGTTAAAGGTTTGCAGGCCCTAGAAACAGTTGCATGAAACACAGCTGATTGTGTTTCCCCATTTGAAGCCCAAACTAGGTGAATTCTCATGGCTACAGGTTTTGCAGCAGGAAGGTTTGCACAGCTGTCCCCAAGATGAATGGCAGGGAGGCAGCAGGTGGGTTCGTCTCATTACTTGGATCACAAATACAGCAAAAGCAACCACTCTTGGTGTTTGGGGATGTCTGCTTCTGTCTGAATCTGCAAAGCCCAGAGGCAAAGGGATCATGTGGAGAGATATATGAATAAGAGTTCCCCAAACTCTTGCCAATCTCAAAAATGTTCCAGGTTTGTGGGGAGATAATTCAAGCTGGTGGTGAATTCACAAAAGTTCTGGCCAATGTAACAATCCCTCGCTCCTGGCCCACCCTGCACCACTTAGGTGAGTGGCATGGAGGAGCCCCCACATCTCTCAGTGCTCTTACACGACAGGTCTCTGCATCTTGAAAGATGCTAAAAATCCAAAGCCCCATTGTTTTCGGGTCACACTTAGAATTGGCGCTGACTTCTCTTCTCCACCCCAGGTTGTTATCCGAAGACGCCCCCTGCTATATGTGGTCAGTTTGCTGATCCCCAGTCTATTCCTGATGGTCATTGACCTGGCCAGCTTCTATCTGCCACCCAACTGTGGCACCAGGATAACCTTCAAGACCAGCGTGCTGGTTGGCTATACTGTCTTCAAAGTCAACATGTCAGACAAGCTGCCGGGCACTGCGGTCAGCACTCCCCTCATTGGTGAGCTGGGTTTGGCCAGTGCATCTTGGATGGGCTGGGCTGTTATGGTAGGGACTCTAGTCTAAGGGAGCATGTAAATCTGCAAACACTAGAGGTCAGAGATGGTGAAGACCCATGAGTTTATCCTATCCAGCCCAGATTCATTCTCCAGACTAGCTTTAAAATGGGCAGACTTGGGCAGTAATGGGACATCTGCCTTGGGGGGAAGTTCCATGGTCTAATCATTCTCACTGCAGGGAAATGTTGATGGACATTCATCCAGCTCCTCCCTGCTGACTAGGTGTCTTACTCTGACCAGGTGGGGCCTCTCTTGGGCAGCCAGTCATTGGTGCCAGTACTATTCTTCTCCTTTAAAGCACCTGTTGCTAACCCTGATTTGACGTGTGCATCCTCCGGCAAACGAACCTCTGGGAAAAGAACTACAGTGCCGCTGACACCCTGTGTGCCCTGCAAACCCTCCTGGCCTCACCCAAACAATCATCCTGCATGGCTTGGCCAGGCGCTCAGCAGCATGGTTGTGTCAGATTTTCAGCCCAGAGTGGACTGGGTTTGTATTTCTCAACCACTGTGCTAGTTGAAACCAGGTTTATGGAGGGTAGTAATGTTTTTAACACAGTGGATGCACACCTTGCATGGCTGCGGTAAGAGGGTTTGAAAATGGTTTGAAAACACTTCAGTGTGGGCAGAGCCTTAGGATATGTCTGCACTGTAATCAGGAGCTGCAATTGCAACACGTGTAGACGTACCTAAGCTAGCTTTCACCTAGCTGTGAAGTTGTGGCAGTACAGGCTAGCCCCGCACACTCAGGGCCCTAGGGACATGCTTGAGTGGCTAGCCCATGTTGCCACCATGGTTTCCTTACTGTTGCTACTCAAGTTAGCTTTGCCCTAGCTAGATCAAACTTAGCTTGGGTACGTCTACATGCTCTGCAGTCACACCCCATGACTGCAGTGTAGACACACCCTGAGAGACTATTTCAGCCATTGCCGTTTGGTGTCCTGGTTGCCTGTCCCACTCAGTAACGTTCCTTTCTCTTTCCCCATTGCCTCAGGGGTGTTCTTCACGGTTTGCATGGCCCTCTTGGTTCTCAGCCTGTCCAAGTCTATCCTGCTAGTAAAGTTCCTTCATCTGGGGGAAGACCCTGTGCGGGAAAGGCTCTTCTCCGGCTGCTGGGTGAGCAGTGCCGTAGTCGGAGGAGGCCCCGGCGAGAGACCCGAGGTTCCCAGGCTGCACGCAGCTGGTGACATTGCAGGTACAAGCCAGGCTGGGTTTTCGGTGCACTCTGTGCACATACAGCCCCCTGGACTGCTGCCTCGCTGAACATGCTTTGCTGTCATTGCAGGTCTCTCGTTGCGTGGGGAACAGGAGGAAGGGAAAGGAGAGGGGCCTTGGAAGGTGACGAGCGCCCGGAAGGCCCCAATGGAGAAGATCCTGGCAGAGCTCCTCCTGATCAGCTCCCAGCTCCATGCACTAGACTGGGCCAGCAGACGAGAAGTCAACTGGCTCACGCTGTCCTACAGGCTGGACAGACTGCTGTTCTGGGTGTACGTCCTGACCCTGGGGGTGTATGCAGTCACACTCTGCTCCCTGTGGGTGGTCTGGAGCGCCCAGTAACGGTAGTGGGGACATGGCAAAGCTAACATCAGAGATGCAGATACATTCAATGCTGGTGGGGTCTGGCTCGGCTCACAGGGGCAGGGGATGGGCTACTGAGTGTCCGTCTCTTGGGCTCTAGATCCAGGTCAGAGGGACGGGAGGACAAGACTTTTCACCTGTAGGGCATCATTTCCAATCTAGAGCAGGTTGATCAGGGCCTAAAATCTTACCCTCTGCCAATGATCATGTGGCCCATCGGGACCGAACCCCCTCACCTTCCAGCTCCTCCTCCAGGGGCCCTTCCCTGCTCTGTGGATCTGCGGAGCGCTTGGTCTCCAGGATCATCTCTCTGGCACCCTCCCTCCAGAACTCAATTCATGCTGAAACAAAAAACACAAACCCCACAAAGAGCCTTTACCTGCAGCTGTCTCTCGCCGCTCGTTACCGCCGCGCTAGTGCTTTGCTCCAATTGCCCATGAAACGCTTCCACTGCTATTAAGGAAATGAAGAACATCAGACAGGTTTTGAACCACCCCCACCCAGCCCCTTCCACCAGTGGGAACAACCTCTCGGTCTTGACCTCCCTTAATTTCAACTGGGAGCCGCTTCCCCAGACAGTGCGTTCGCAGATGCCTGTGGAGTTTTCTCTGCTCCCAACAGCTGGCTGAGGCATTCCCGCTTCGCAATCCAGCGAGAGGGGCAGGTGGGGTGCACCCAGAGTCAATTCCCATCCATGTCTAGAAATGCAAGTACTTCCCAGTCCTTTCTGCCCCACGGGACCGCTGCTTGCTAACCCTTGGCATCTATGGAAACATCGCCCCCTAGTGGTAAGCGCTGCCTTTGACAGGGCCAAGCGGCATAACAAACGGCCCACAGCTCCCAGGCACAGATTTGGCAAAACATATCAGACATGCTTAGTACTACTCACATGCTCAAGTCCATCCCTAGTCAGCCAAGTCCTTAAGCACATGCATTGTTGCCATCAGTGACCAGAGCAAGGGGAACTGGGAGTCCGGACTCCTGTGTTCTATTCCCAGTTCTACCATTCAGTGGTCTTAGGCAAGTCACTTAAACCTCTTTGTTGCATGATTTATTGCTCTGTTAGATGGAGCCCAAAATCTACCTGCTTCCAAGGAGCGAGCTGCGAGACTGGGGAGCGTTTGCAATGCAGCTGGAGCTCCCCAGCCGCTCCAGCCTACAGTGCTCAACCCTTCCCAGAACCCAACGCACAACCAGTCTGCCCTGTTGCTGGCCTCTGATGCTGAGTTACTGTCTCACTGTACAGTACCAATGCAGAGAGTAAAGCATTTTATCCAGTACAAACAGTACTCTGGCTGGGTTGTATGAAGCCATTCCTCCACGGCATTAGTTCAGTGTCTGCTTTCCCTCCTTTGACCCAGGCAGGTCCATTTCAACTAGTGGAAAGATCTCACCTGTCTACATCCCCATTCAGTGCTTGTGGGTAAAGAGCTTCAAATGCTAACAAATGACATTGCAAAAGTTGTTGCATTTAAAGTGGAGTTTTCCCCACTTCTGCAAATATCACCGTGCCAGGAGCCGGCGTGGCAATCATTTATCAGAGAGCTATTCAAAGCAGATTAAACAGAAGTCAGTGTGGAGGAGACATCCTCTTATGACAAAGCCAGGTTCGTGTGCATTACATAGAGCGCTGCTTTTTTTTTTTTTTAATAAAACAGTAACACACTTATAACTGTCCCCTCCAGGCAGCCAAGAACTTTGTGCTGCTGCTAATTAATCAATGAAATATAGTAGAATGGTGAAAAAGTCCCATCTTCCCTCCCATGGCGATGCTGGTTATTTATTGCCCCCGTTTATTTTTATTATAAGGATAGGAACACAATGTGGGGCAGTTTTCTTATCGCGCTAGTAAAATCTTATTTTCAAAATGCTGCTGCTATAAATTTGGACCCATTACACCTGTCACAATCACACTCCCTCCTAAAGATGAATAAAGCCAATGAGAATCACAGATGGAAGAGAATGATCAGGTCACCTCTTCATCCCAAACAGGATATTTTGCTAGCATTTGGCCATCATTGTTACAATCAAGCACTTTGCCTAGAGGGCAGAAGACACTCACTTGAGATATGAACCCACAAAGGGAAAAAAGTTTATTTGGGTTCCACTGCAAACCTCACACTATCAGCTCCTGTTAAACCCCCATCACCTTGTTGGGCCGAATCAAAGGTTATTGAACTTCCCTGGTGAGTGTACTTTGTCCAGCAGAAATACATCTGATTAATTCCCTTTCAGTTGAAAATCAAGCTTCTGAATTATAAGGGGCGCCATCTGCTTAGAAATCACATTCTGGTAACAGATACATTGCTTTGCCTCGTTTTAGAATATTAAAAGCGAATGTCCTATCAAAAAGTCCAAATTACTTGGCAGCCGTTGGATAGCGATTGTCTAAACTGAGAGAAATGCAAACCATGCGAACTTGCACCATTGCTGACTGTAACTTTCCCGGACAGCTTCTCAGCACTGCGTTGTCAGGGTAGCAGCTACCCATTCAGTTGTTTAGAAACAACTGTTCTAGTTGGTTTAGTTCATGGAAACATTTTCATTTCTTAGTGCATTAAACATAAAAAAGTATTTTTATTACATTTTTGGGGCCCAATTTGAAATTGATTTTGAACTTTTAGCCCCAGAAGTGCCATTGAGAACAGACATGATGAGCAGGAAAAATCCCTGGGATTTGGAAAGATCCCACCCTTAATGAAACAACATTTTTTGCTCCTGTGTTTTACTTGGACAGTGCCCTCTCCAAGCCCACCAATTCCCATCCCTTGGTCCTCGGACCTGGACAGATGCTTCAGCCATTTCTCACTGTACCCCCAGCGTCTAAAGGGTTTCAGATACTTGTGGTGCACCCATCTCTCTCCATTGAGCTCAATGAGGCTTCTCACAGGGTAAGGCCCTCTTGAACCTGATTTAGGGTATCAAAATCCAGCCCTTACTGATGAACCTCTGTGTCTACACTGCAGCTGGGAGCACGCCTCCCCGCATGGGTACACGGACACGCAGCAAAGGCAGCAGTGCACTCTCCTATCAGTCATGCTTCCAGTTGTGAGGCTGGGATTTTGGGGCAGCCCATTCTGAACTGGGGGTGAGGGTCCCTGGCTGAGCTGTTAGCCTGGTAAGTTGGTACAGCTGCTTGAAAAGATAGGGAACTGCTAGCCATTCTCTTGGTTGCACTGTTCTCCTTTACAATGGGCTGATACAAAGCGTCTGAAGCCATTGGCAGTGCCTTTCCACACCAGGTTCATAGCTGCTTTGCCCCTTTGTGCTGCTGCTAATTAATCAATGAAATATAGTAGAATGGTGAAAAAGACTGTCTGTCCTGGTGCAGCAGGCAGGTTCTCGTCCTGGTTCTCTCACACCTCACAGTCCGGCAGAAAGAGGTCCCTTTGATAGACTTTGTGATGGAGGAGGAGCCTAACAAGCCAGACCTGGGGGGCTGGATGGCTCAGGTACTCAGTGATGGGAGACGGTGCATTGTATCTTCAGACACCTGTCTAGATCCAGCCCTCCCTGGTACAGACCAAAGCTCATTCTTTACGACTGGTGGTTGATGTAAAAGGAGTCTGATGGTCCCCTAAGCAGTGGGGAGGGTTCCCAAGTTGCCAGTTGGCACCAACTGAGGCCCAGCTCTCACTTGCAGAGTTGCAGTCACAGTAGAGGAATCAAGGACTGAGTTGCCATGAACATTGACCCGCCCTCTTGCAGGCGGCATTGCAAGAGAGAGCATGGTTTGCTCTCGATCCCACAGGCACAGAAGCCACGTGTAATCCAACAGAACAGAGCCTGATTCTTCACACTGCTTTGGTTTGTGCACATGAATACAGCCCTGTGGCTTTCCCATCGCAGAGTACATGACTGAAGCCATGTAAGCCACCCATCTGCGAGTCCACCTCTATTTATGGTGAGTTATTTACCTAAGGAGACATTTATGTGTTCATAATTAGTAAGACAATGCAGCACCGAGGAGTTTATGATAGCCTGGTTCTTAGCACAGAGCAAAACCATCAGTATCTGAAATGACCCATGACAGTGATTTGATTAGTGAAATGTGTAACTGAGCTCCCAGCTCAGCCTCACACTGAAAATCAGCTTCCAGCCTCCGCAGATCAGATCAGGGAGGTGAAGTACTTAAGTTTGTGCTTCATTTGGCAGGGCCATAACGCTGATTTAGTTGGGGATTGGTCCTGCTTTGAGCAGGGGGTTGGACTAGATGACCTCCTGAGGTCCCTTCCAACCCTGATATTCTATGGATCACAGCAAAGTCTTACCCAGGGGCTGCATGGAACACACCACGCCTGTGGGCGCTGCATCCCAAAACACAGGTGCACTAAGTAATACAACCACACAGAGGAACAGCAGCAAGGGAAGGGAGAGATTAAGACGCAGTGAAGCAAGGGGACAGGAGGTGCTTCTGGCTGAGATTTCAAAGGAGACCGAGAAGCATAGGGAGAGCTTTCCAGATGCCAGGAGGTACCAAGAAGGCTCTCTCACTTGGCCGAGCGTACCTTTGTTCTCCACTAGGGCTGGATCGGATAAGAGGCCGTCTGCCTGCTGCTGCCCCAGCTGCTGGGCGTGGGCCCTTCACCCGAGGGAGAGAGGCGTGTGTGCTTCGGAGGTGGGTTCCCAGGGCAGGCCCCCCTGGCAAGTGAAGAATCGGTGCCAAGGGGCAGGCTTGTGACAGCCTAGTTCCTGGTGTCTGGAGAGAGCCTGCTAGATCGCCAGGGTCACCCTTGGCAGCTCCAGCCACCCGTGCAGGGCAACCTGTGGCTGGAGCTAGGCACTTTGACTCTGCACACAGCCCAGTGTTTATTTCCGGTCTCGGAGCGTCAGATCACAGCAGATGTGCAGTCCTGAGGAGTCGGAGGATCCCTCGCAGGCGGCCTCAGTTCCAGGGCGGGGCCAGAGCCGACAGGCGGCCCCGCAGACAGGCTTTGTAATGATGCTTTACTGATTCTGAGGCCTCGAACGTGCTCTGAAACGGGAGCCCTGTCAACCTTGAGACGGGCTCCTTCTCCGCTCCCGCGGCTCAGGGCAAGTGGTGGCTCTGCACGGTTGCCCACTGTCCGTGCTGAAGGGGTGCGCAGGGAGAACTTCGTTGCCAGGGTGCGATGTTTGGCTAGGACCTTCAGTCCTGTAATCCCCTCCCCAGAGGTGCCATTGGGCCCACCCACCCCTCGTTATTGTTGGCCAAGTGCCAACAATGTGCTCGATGCTGTACAAGGCAGACGGCCTCTGCCCCAAGGAGCTCACACATGGCACTGCCAGTAGCAGCAGGACTCAGGCGCTGGGTCGTAGGGGCTTGGGAGCTCCAGTCCCAGGAAACACAGAGGTGAGGCGAAGGGATACGCATGCCGCCAGAGCTCTCGTAAGGAGCAATTACGGCAGAGGAGAGACTTTCGATGCAGTGTGCTCATCACTAGGACAACCCAGGGGGTCAGTGGACCCAGAGACAGGCCCCAGGTAGCCAGGGCTCCGGCATGGTGTTCAGACCCTCTGAAAACATCTACCCTGCACACGAAACCTGGGCTCTGACACAGGTTCCAGCTCAAGCCCCTCGCCTGGCCTTTCCATCCACACACACTCATCAATCTGCCTCAGGTCAGCAGGCACTCAGGACCAGGGGCCTAGGACCCAGAGTCCAAGTCCTGCAGAGACTCAGGTCCAGTTTGCAGTGTGGACGCAGCTCAAGCCGCAAACCTGAGTCAGAGAGTCAGCACAGTACAGTATGGACATATTATCATGGCTGTGGGACCCGGGGCCAGCCTTTGGAAACCCAGCTTTGCGATGCAGTGCGGACACACAAGCACGGGCTTGGAAACACTGAGTCCACAGAGCTGGGCGTAGCATGCTGTGTAGACACACTCAGAGCTGTGTTCAGATCAGCATCACCGTCCGGATGCAGCTCAACGCAGGCCAAGGCAGTGCCCTCGCTTCTGCTGCTTTGGGACACGCTCCCCACCCCAGGCTTCACGTTCAACTGGCTGGATTCAGGCTGGAGAATGAAGCATGGTTTAATGAATGAATAATTTGAGCAGATACAAGGCATCAGGTGGCGGAGTCAAGGCTTGGTTGGCATCTGTCAATCACTATCAATGCACGTAATGAGCCATCAATACCACCCTTCCTCCCCTGCAACAGCTTAGCCAGGAAAGCTGCACGTGCAGCTGGAAGGCTGAGAAACTGCCACGCTGGCAGCCCAGAGAGAAAGAGTCAAGGTTCCTTCATGTCCTACTCCCCCTGCACATCCGCCTTGGGCCGCTGGCGGCATTTGCCAGGCAGGGTCGTTTTCCTCCATGCCACGTTGGAGATGTATCACGAGCCCGTTTGGCGTGAGCAGCTTCAGCCAGTACTCCTGAGGGGGCAGCATTGACCAGCATGTTGATCCCCCAGGCTTGGAGTGTGGGGTGTGTTTGGCTGGGAGAGGTCAAACTGCCTCACCCCATCCCCTCTTCTCAGAAGCAGAGCAAATGGCAGGGTGGGTCGGGAACTCCGGAGTCAGAGCCACCTGCAACTGCCGAGTAAATCGTTACCAGAAGAAATTCAAACAGATGTTCAGTCCCACGCTAGGCCACCTGCCCCTCCCAGAAGGAGTCACTGCCCCGGCTTTGTGCTTCTCCTCAGCCCCCGGCAGAACCCAATGGCTTCTGCTCCATTTCACTGAATTCTGGGGTTTGTCCAACCTCATGGTTAAAGCAGAGCTCACAGAATCCAAATCCCCCTGGGGACTCCCTGACGCCTACTTGCTCCCGAACACCTCTGCTTGAAGCTTCCTTCTTGTGGTAGAGGCTGCTCATCTGGTGGCTTCACCCTGATCCGTGGGCAAACACTGCCTGTCACCAGTGCTCCCCTCCACATGCAGCGTCACCGGAGACAGGTGCCTGCGTGCGACATCCTAAAGGGGCTCCAAGCAGGGCCGGCTCTGGCTTTTTTGCCGCCCTAGACAAAAAAGCCTCCCGCCACCCCTGGCCCCCCGGCGGGGAGCGCAGCAGGGGAGGACGGCGAGCCCGGCCGCGGCCCCGCTCTCCCCAGCCGGCCGAAGCGCCAGGAGGAGGGCGGAGAGCCCGGCCGCAGCCCCGCCCTCCCCGACCTGCCGGAGCGCCAGGGGGAGGGCAGAGAGCCCGGCTGCGGCCCCACCCTCCCCGACCTGCCGGAGCGCCGCCCCTCTCCAGGTGCCGCCCCAAGCACGTGCTTGGTAGGCTGGTGCCTGGAGCCAGCCCTGGCTCCAAGCAGGCTGGGGCGGGGGAGCACGTTGCCACCACAGCAGCTTCAGCTCGCAGTCTGAGCTCAGCTCCTGTTGTCTGGTATTGATTGGCTAAAACAGCCCCAAGGGCCTAGATGAGTCCAAGGC